CTAGATAATGGAGAACTTAATGGCATTTGTATATACAGTATTGTAATTAAACCTAAATGTAGAACATAGAGATATGATGCTGAATATTAGTGAGTTTTATATTATACAGTATATAATATTATATGTCCTAGAAGCATGGGAGAATTTGTTCTTTGAGGTACAGTACTTGTGAATCTTTTGTAATAATCACTGAGAACCATTTATGGGGAATATCTCACAAATAACAAATAAGAAATAAAGTGTGTGTGTGTGTATATATATATATATGTGTGTTGTACCTAGTAGCCAGAATGCAGTTCTTGGCCTACTATGCAAGGCCCAATTTGCCTAATAAGCCAAGTTTTCCAGAATTTTAATATTTTTTCAAATGTTTTTCTTGTGAAATGATAAAGCTATTCATTTCATTATGTATGAGCTAAATATTTTTAAATTTGAGTTAAAATTAACGTAGATATATGACCGAACCTAACCAACCCTACCTAACCTAACCGAACTTATCATACCCTATTCTAAACTAACATAACTAAATCAATAATTTATGTTCTTAATATAATATAATAATAATATTTAAAAAAAACAATAGGAAACAATTTATTGAAAATAAAGAAAATCACTCGGCTATTAGGCAAATTGGGCCTTGCATAGTAGGCCGAGAAGTGCATTCTGGGTACTAGGTACGACATATATACATAATGGCAGACCAGCTAACTTTTGCATACATGTTATGAATACTTAATGCATTTATTTTAATAGGTAATACAGGCACTCCATTGCATTGCAGGGATCTGATTCCAGCTGGTAATATATTTTGCCTTTATTTCTGGTATACCTGTATATATTTGTTATGAGCCAATGTATTTGTGATGAAAATAAATTGGGGGTCACTACCTGTACGTTAGGAAACCTGTGGCTAGTTCTAATAGTTATTCTACTCTCGGCCCGGCCCTATGCCATCCTTGGCAAGTGATCAGCCCGATAGACACATTCTGTCTGCAAGTCTATATACTGTAGTACTATACCTGTATGTCCATTGGTCACAGCCGATAGCTTCCAGGATAAATTCCTGTGGCAGGACAAAAAAGGTTTGTAAAATATTTTCATTCACTTGATGCCTTTGTCCACTTATTTACTGCTAGGTGGACAGAGTCATCAGGTGAAAGGAAACTGTACTAAGCCATCTCTGTTCTACCTGAGAAGTTAACCCAGGACCTTCTGTTAAAGGTCATAGACCGTTCCAACTATAGATTGAGCAAATAATGAAGATAAAACTCCCTCTTTTGGGTAGATATTTGTATATAATAATGTATATGAAATAAAGAACCTGTAATTCTGAGTTAACTGGACAAAAAAACTATTGCATTTCAGTATTGTATGTGCTTTGTAATAATTAAGGAAAATTAATAAAAATAAGGATATGATTGTTGTATAAATGTTTTCATCTGATAATGAAGAAAAGAAATTATCAGGAGAAAGCACTAAGTCAGTATGACTATATAGCATCCTCTGGCAATGTAACCCGTCCTCTCGAATAGTACATCACATTTTGACGTATAAAAATTTCCCCCAAGGGCAAAAAATTTATGTGCTAAAAATCATAGCGGCTCGCACAGCTGACATGATGTCCTTTTTTTGATTTATGGGGCCTTGGTTAGGTTTGGGCATCTTAGTACGTCAGTTTAATGATGTTGTGAACTCTCAAGAAGACGGGCTGGGTAGTGGAGGAAATAAGATTTTAATGAAGTGAAAAAGATAATAGGATCTAAACAAGGATGCAAAATAGTACTGTACTTAAAATATGCCTTAATCTAAAGTGAAAAGGGTAAGAAACCTGTATCTTTCAGAGCTGTTGGTTCCACTGATACAAGGATTGATGTATTCATGAAAAGGTACCAAGATGTGTGTTCAGGATACATTTGAAATGGAATGATGATCAAGTAATACTGAAGGACAGATTCCAGTGCTTGGCCATGTATAAATTTCATAATAATAAATAATAATAAATAATAATAATTATAATACAATGTTAATAATACTGAGCGGTTAAGTCTATAACTAAACATAATAAAGTACATTATCAGTACTTAAACAGTACATTATCTTACTTAAACCTTGACTGCAAAATTTTAAAGGTTGGTTCACTAGCCTTGAGTAAAGTGTCCTGAAATCATTTATTACTGATATAAAGATGTAGTACAATAAATAAGATGTCTGTACTGTACTTTGATGATAAAATTATACATACTCAAGTGTGAAATATGATTAACACAATTTTTTGAAGAAAGAGAAACTATAACGGTACTGATGTCTGGATACAACAATTTAAAACAACAAAAATTGTCTGAAGTTAAATTACCACTGGTATTGTTTTACACAATCCATTCCTCTATATTGTAACTACAGTATTTAAACTTACAGTATATAAAATGGCTGAAAGGTGTGCAAGCCTTGCATAAATTATAAATTCTGTTCAAGATTAGTGTTTCTACTTTAATAGGACAATTAATATTTATTCACTATAAAAACTCAAAGTTTCCAAGTTAAAATAACACAATTTCACACTCTTACACAGAGGTGCTTTCTCAAGATAGTGTACAAGCCGTGCAGTTATGCCTCAGGAATCAAGGATACTTCAATCTTAAGCTGCTCTTTCATTAAGTATTTCAAGTCCTGTTACAGTATATTCTTAACTGCATTATAGTCATCCCTCAATTTATGGTACAGTAATGTACCTAAAGAGCTGCCAGTAAAGTTTAACAAAATGTTTGTATATTAATGTCTGTTCTGTTGACTTGTGTTATATAACTGGACCTGCATTAATTCCTAAAGTAAAAGGTTTGATCCCAAGCAGATATGTGCCAATATCCATTCTGATTCAGCAAAAATTCTTTACTTTCAAGTTTTTATGGCTGGTTTACTTTAAAAACCAGCCATATGATTGTTAAAAAACAGACCCATTAACTTTTGATGCACAAAACTAGTTCTTAGTATATTGACTAATAAATTATGGAATGCATTTATGTACTCTATTTGCAAAATTCTATGTACTGTATTGAGAAATGCACTTACAGTAATTTATTTTCTCTGCTTACCTTAGCTTTCCTACATGCAAATGATTAAAAACTGCATTACATACATCCTTCATTTAAAATAATGTTACATACTTTGTGATAGGCAATTTTTCTAGTATTATAATTTTTGTTTTCAGTACTGTTGGTCTAATACAGTGCATACTATCTGTACAAAGAAAAACTAGTTTAAGAAATCAAACCATACACCACAGTTTTAAGTCTGCTGCTCTAGATTATCATCACTAGATGATAATACTGTAGTTTGTAAAGATATATTTTTAAAAGTACAGTATTTTAAAGGGCTAAAATCACATTAACGTTTAATCAAACTATCTCATTAATTTAAATGGTAAAATGATTGTGTACTCACCTAGTTGTGTTTGCAGGGGGGGGGGGGGGAGGTTGAGCTTTGGCTATTTGGTTTGTGTGGGGGTGAGGTTTTTTTTTTAGTGTTCTATGTAAGTTTACTGATTAGGTTTTCTCTCTGAATTTTGCAATCTAATAAAAAAAGTTGCACTAGAATATATAGTTTAGGGTTGTATAACTATAGCACCTTTGATTGGTGTGTCAGTTTACACAAATCACTACAGTAGTAAGATTGGTTTACTGAGCTAACATTTACTGCAACATTTATGTTGCTTTCAGTTGGGCTGAAAGTGATAAGAGGGACCGAGTCTTACTTTTCTCTGCATTACAGCTGAAGACCTTAAATAACGTACATTACATAATCCATTGCTTAAGCACAAGTAGCCCAAGTGATATACTGTACTGTACAACTGCTAAGATGACTGCAGAAACAACATTAAATAACATTTTCAGGTGATATGTTTCATGTGGGTTTAGTTGCAGAAATACTATGTAGGTGCTTTTCATTCTACACACATGCTAGCAACACTACATTGCAGTGCTTGAACTCGCCACAAAATACTTTGTAAGATTCAATGTACTGTATCCAATTGTACTGTATAGATCTTTAGGTAACCTTATAAACTCACAGAACAGAAATAAGATTTTTCCACCCAAAAAAAAAAAAATTATATAAAATTATTTAATATAAAAAATTATATATTATTCATACTGTATTACCATTGTGGATTGAAGATCTTTAGATATTAATAACAAACGTGATAAAAAAAATTATTACACATTTATTCAAAGATCATGAGATAAATTAACAATAAATTAAGATAGAAGGACTATTTTCATATAGGATTTGATAAAAGATCTTCACTGAAACAATGATTCAATTGTACATAAAGAAGAGGAACCTACATATCAAACCTAATGCTTTCGCGGGCTGATTCAGTCCTGGAGATCGAACGTGCAGTAAGATAAGTAAAATTAACTGAAGTTTGCTGCATTTATTATCTTACCTGTAGATGCAGTATGGCTTGTATTGTAAGAATTAGGGTGGCCTGTAAGCATTAGCAATTTTTACTTATGAATACACTTCCATGTAATAGATATAATCATGATAGGTTAATTAGGGAGCATACTTTCAAATAAAAATTTTGAGACATATTATTGGCAAGATTTAAAGCTCATACTTTTTTTTTTAATGCAATTTCTTCTGAATATTTGATTTTACAGTATGTTTATTTAAATCTGATTACAAAGTTTGAAAAACTTTACTTATACTGGGCAAGAGAAATAGGTGGTTTACTCTCATGTTAAGATAAGCAACACCCTTCAAGTGGCACCGTGTCAGCTCAGTAGAGTTCTCTATTTCACGGAACCCATTTTTTATTTTATTTTTTTGTTCTGGCCACTTTCTGCCTAAACCTAGAAAAAGGAAAGAAACACATGTTAAACATAATAATTTTTTGTAAGTAAATTCAAACCATAAAAGTGGTAAAAGATGTTTTAAGCAAGAGAAGCTCTTGATAGCCAGGGGTAGGATGTTCTAGTTCATAAGGCTACAATGAGAAAGCATGACAGTAATACATTTATTATCCTATGGCACATGGACATTGACGTGTAAGAAATGAACATTATTCATGGTTCTAACTAAGTTACCAGTTTACAGTACAGAACTGTATTTTGATGAGTATTGTAATAACATAAGTTGAACTCCTTTACTATTAAATAAATTATCATGTCTGAAAAATAAAATTGGTTAACTGCAGCTTGTGTTTTGTAATTGGTTTTGCAATACAGTATTTGTAACCTTATACTGAATATGTCAACAGTGCAACAGGGCTCGCAGTGAGAACTTTTCTGTTGCAAGTGTTGAAGAATGAGAACTTTAGAGCTCATTTAATATAAATAACTAGGAGGATATCTGAAGACTGATCAAGTCTTAGTTTTTACATAACGATCAGTTAAATTTATTTTCACAGTATGGCCATGCGCTAATAATACTGAAATAAAAATGTAAGATAAAATAAACTAAATTAGAATGAAATTTTGTGAAACCAAAAATTTCAAAGTGTCTTAAAGACAATGATGAGGAAATAGTGGCCGCTTAATATCTCAAGCTTTCCACACTACAGCTTCCTTAAGTCGTGAAACTAGTATTACTGTAGTTAATTTAATATTGTGCATGCCAATGAAATTCTATAATATTCTAAATTATATTATACTGGCATTTAAGTCTTGGGCCAGGCACTGGAAATGGTTAGGACATTCATCACCTCTATATACCAAGCTACAGGTTTTCCACATTGTTGTACTGTATTTAGAACTTGGTTGACATCCAGCTTTACAACCCATATGTTGCTGCTGCTGCTGCTGCTTATTAAGTAAATATTCATAAGGCAATGAACTGAAATTTATAATATCGATAATTTTTTTTTTTAGTTCTGTACAGGACTATATTACAGGGATCAGTAGTGTGTTGCACTGAGTTAATGAGCAAGTCAATTCCCACAATACTCTTCAGTTTCACTAAGATGATAATGGCTTCACAAGACTGTCCATTGTACAGATAAATAATTATGCAGTCTAAAGATTGTTTCTGTAAAATAGTTCATAGAATTCATGAAATTGTGCTAAACCTAAACTGCATACCTTTATAAGAAGCACATGTAACAGGAATTTTATACCACATAAACAACAACATATATTGAAGCTTTGGTATATCATACAGTAATCTGGATGTGTGCATATACAATGCAACCAGTCACTTTAAAGAATATGAATAACAGTTACAATCAATAGCATCCATGCATAATATTTAAACTGTACATAATGAGAATACTGTACTGTAAAACTTTATATTGGCAAACAAAAATTATTTATAGGTACTGTATATAGCAGTTTTACAGAATTGTAATGTTTTGTATTGTCTGCAATATATCATATTTTATACATAAGTGTGTAGGATTGTATCGTGTCTCATTTGTACAGCTTCATAAACATTATAGTTTCTAATAAGAATAAATCCATTTGTATATTGGAGTATGTAAATGTATCAACACCATGTTTATATTGCCAATTACTATGTTAGATACAGCTCTTACAAATCACTATACTGTACGTATAGTAATATCTCGCATTTGCGGAACCCAGTTCAACAGAGAAACAATACGATTGAACCTGAAGACATTCCTTGAGCATAAACAAACATCGGCCCAACATCCTAAAGTGTGATACAGTACAACATTCAATTGTGAATAGGGAAAACATTACTGCTTATACACAAGCGTTATGTTATGCATTTGAGTGCACTGAAAAAATGTGAAAAGCAAATAACCCATCTAAAATTTAACAAGTAAATGAATACTATATGTAAAGGTGGTTAATAACACTTTACTGCTAATCTTACAACATGCTTCTTCTAGCTTAAACATTACCTGAGCTAACTGAACCTAATTAGACTATACCTAACCAAACATAAGCTCCACTTGTTTGTTTGGGGCCTAGACAGACTGTCTCCCTGACACACTCACTTCCATTGTCTATCTCTAACTCACTCATTCCCTCACTCGAATATGGGGTGAACAATAAATTAACCACTGCAGCCCTCAAATCTTCCTCCATCCTCCCAAAGCTACTTACCTGCATACACAATTCAAACCATTCTTTCCATTTCCTCCCCCAAGATGTATAACAGCATTTTCTTTAAAGTTTTGTTGGTTATATAAAAAATTGATTACTTTTTCCATGTGATTTTACTATTAAAATATGTGGAATTATATGTCCTATCATGTGCTCTAATAAAACAACACTAGGTGTAGCATACACGAAGAAAACAAATTGCTGCAATATTAAGTTGGATGCACTGAGAGGGGTCCAACTCAATTGTTCCAGGAACCGAGATATCACTACAGTATTTATTTTAATTATTATTACAGAATTTTGTCATGCTATTAAAATCCCATATGATATCCTGAACATGAGAAAATAAAAGACACTTCATGTATTAATTATGTGCAGTACATTATTAATTGGTTTTGACCTTCAAGATATGCCAAACGTTTTACCTAGATTCATTGGGTCCAGTTATATATCCTTTTCACTTTGAATGATTTTTAAATATTAAAGAAAATGTACGAAAGTGTTGATGGCCTAAAATTCGTAGTAAGTACGTGGTACTGTACTTATAAAAGACTGCATCTGAATATTCTACTACAGTAATGTCTAATAAAATTTTGTGATAAAATTTAGATTGGTTGATACTTTTAACTGAATTTCATGTTGGAGGGAGGGTAGAATTAAGCTGTGGGAGAAAATGCATTGCATGGAAATATACTGTTAATACAGTGGAACCTCTATATTCATCATTATTCTGTTCCTATGTGCCTGACAAATATGGAAACAATTGTTCCCATAAGAAATAACTGAAATTCAATTTATGAGTTTTCAACCTCCAAAAAATACATAAATAAAAATTTAGTCAGAACATTCCTCAATACAGTAAAGGTGGAAATAATGATAGAAGCTGAAGAGGAAAGGAATTGTATTGTTTAGAAGGGGAGATGCCTTCCATTACAATATCAGGTAACTTTAATTTTGTATTTTATATATATAGAGAGAGTTCTTATATTCTTATACAACCACTAGCGTGCATAGTGTTTCGGGCAAGTCCTTAGTCCTAATTTTCCCAGGAATATGACCTGGCAAATCGTTTAACAACCAAGTACCCATTCACTGCTGGGTGAACTGAGGCTACAATTGAGGATTGGCACCCAGTAAATCCTTCCCAGCCAGGATACGAACCCAGGTCAAAGAGCTCACAAAACACCAGGCGAATGCTTTACCACTGCGCCATGGGGACTGTATTAATCCTAACGATTGTTGTCATTTTATTCCCTATGGCGACAATCCACTAGGACTCTGTATGGGTAAGAACTTGTCCAATGTTCTGTTTCTGTCTGCTTTTATAAAAACTTTCCTGAAGTAGCCAATTACATTATCATTGAATGCATTTATGTTTTGATAAACTATGGTAATGTTTAGGTGCCACTTTTTGACCATATTCTGCATTTTGGCCTAATTGGAGAGGATTTCCTTTGTCAGTGGTAGAAATGGTGGCAAATATGGAAAATGCTGATGAATATGGGAGCATTATCTGTCATCAAAACATGATGCATATAGGGACTGACGAATATAGAGGCTTCATTGTACATGAATATACTACAGTATATGGCAAAGGTGAGATGATTGTCATGCAATGCATGCAAGATTATTTGGTTTACAACACATGGGCACACAGGGTGGGGGGTGCTTATTTACACCTTTGGAAACATTGCTGCACCTGCAAGTAGTGTATGCTGCTGATTGAACACTGAACTTGCTATATATGTGCTTAGTTGTACACTGAGAAATAGCTTTATATTATAAAGAGCAATAAGAATAATGTGAATGCTTTCCAATGGATGTATATATCTCCTATTTAGATGACTACAATTACTGTACATATTATATTCTAGGCAAGATTTGTATTAGTGTTTGTACTAATAAAATAACTGATGGTATTGGTGAATATTATTTCACTACTATTTCTCCAATATTATTAACATTTTTACATCCATCCACTCTTCTAAGTTCCACATATTAATATATGCTCTCTATTCACTGAATAGATGTTAAACAAGATCACATTGCAGACAATAATCAGACTAATGACAAGTTATTACGTATCTCACTCCCTCCTTAACAAGTAGTTTTATATAATAATACCACAATGATACTTAAAATTTAATTGGCCCATATGTACTATGTTGGGTAGGCCAAAACCTTGTCCCAGTGTAACCTCCTATTCACCATATCTTATTGCATATGATATAGGCTTGCAGGCTTGCTGCATATACGGTATATAATGTATCAATTCTCAAGTAAAACCAAGTTGGTTAAATTGGAAGTAAAGACTAGGAACACAAAAGTTTGACATACCTTACAATGTATATTAGATACGAAGTTATACATTACACAAGGACTAGTCTGTACTGTGGACCATGTTTGCTCGGCACATGACGAACATTGTTCACAGCAGTAACTGAACCTTGTGTAGCCTTTATCCTCACATCTTTCTGTTCAGTATTTGCCTATGTCCACAGTCTTGGAAGATTTTATAGTTATCCAGAAGTGTTCTTTATTTAATAACATTTCCATAGCTTTGGTGTCATTTAGAACACAAGAAGGCTCTACTCATATACAGTACTGTAATTGACTTTAGACATTTACTACTAGAACGTATTCTTTACTTTTAAAGTAATCTAATGATATGCGGCCTTTATTCCTCACTTCTTTCGTTACAATAGTTTGTCAATCTACTGTGAATGATACATTAAAAAGCATTTTGAACAACAGAGCATGGTTATGTTACTAAAATAATGGATAGATGACTCAAGTTATCGAATGGTGTTCTTTATGGTTAATGTTTTGAATAATCTCTTAAAACACTTTCGGGTTCTGATGACACTAAAACGTTTCATCCGATTGCTATTCATAAACATTTTAAGGATTGCTGAGAGGGACCTTGCCAAGCCTGCTAAGTTTACATTTGGGAATGTGCAGAGAGGAGCAAAATCTATTATAAAATACTGTACACTTTTTGTTTTTGCATGTATTCTCTAGACAACTTATGTCTGAACATTTTGACACCAAATTTATAGCTATAACCCACCAAATAACTTTGAAAATTTAAAAATGATTGTAAAAAACTTTTGTATTGGTGAGCGTCCTGTGAGAGGGAGTCTGGAACGTCTACAGTCAAGAACACGCAGAGAGGCGGCACCACTAAAGTGTTAAAACAGTTTATTCCATGTCATACGTACTGATAACCAACAGGTTATATTGGAAACAGGACATCTAATACAAATCGACCCCAAATTTTTTAATACTGTAATAATTTTGTAATAAAATTATAAATATTGAAATCAAGTTTAATATTAACTTCATGTTTATCAACCTATTTCTCAAGTTGTGAATAATTCAGCAGTGGTGTACAATATCTTCAAAGCCTTCAAAGGTGTGCAGCCAGTGAAATATATGAAAGCTAGCAACAGAGGTAATATATGAAGAATTTTTAGATAAAAGAAAAAAGAATGTGGAAATTTAACATACTGGTAAAAATCATGAACAAGTTTTGAGAGAATAAGGATGACTCTAATAATGTAAGCATTATATATAATAAGTACTGTAAAGAACACGAGTGACCCTAGTAGAACCACGATGTTCATTTTGCAAATTGTTCCCAGTGGTTATCCTCATTACTGGTCTGAGACTGTATTGTGTACCAGCTGAGTGGAATACTGTACACTGGCTGGCATTGGACTACCAAGGACTTTTGATTCTTAAAATATATTTAAATTATTAATGTACAGAATTGGATAAGTTTTTTTATATTTAACTATATTCAATTTACTGTTTTTGGTCTAACACTGACAGACAAAAAATCGATGCATTTGACTGTACACAATGTTCCATACTGCATTTCTTTGGTAAACCTTTACTGCTACAACACTACAGGCTGGGACAAACTGCAGTTTAAGCAATGCATTAATGACCAATTATATGTCTAAATGATTTCAATTACATATCAATGCATTGTACACTATTGTAGAATGTGCAAGCTGTGAAGACTAAACCACACACCAGAAGATGAGACAACGACGACGTTTCGACTTGAATCAGAATCGATCAACTTAATCACAGTCGATTTGATAATGGTCCAGGATGGACTGAAATGTCGTCGTCTCCTCATCTCCTGGTGTACGGTTTGGTTTTCCTATCTTCACGCATGTTATTATGACTTATCGTCTGAATATGCAAGCTGCTAGTCATACATATATGCAGAGTCCAATTACCTAGACTTAAAACACCTATGGTTGTTTTGATTTACAGTCCCTTAAAAGTTTCTCACTCAAAGCTAGCCGACTCCTGCCTAACCATTAGGGCGTGTTTAGGATTTTTTACTACCTGTGGATGTTCTCGCTGAGGAATGTTGACGGGCAATCCAAGCTGTTTCTTGATGTAGCGAGCTACTAATGCTTGAGGATATTCCTGCCACTTGTTTAGTGTCTCCTTTGGTGTGGAAACCTAAATATAGAATGAATACAGGTAAGTAAAGTACACAAACCACTGGTATAATAAGAGAATGCAGTCAAGTTTCAAATTAAGGTAACTTTTACAGAAAAACTAACACAATTTCTTTTAATGCTTAAGTTACATAATAATGAATTGAACCCATGATGGAATCTACAGACCAAAATAATTTTATTCATTTAAAAATTACATTCCAACAAGCAATATATAAATTAAAATGTTTATGACCAAGCAAATTGTGAATAATTTGTTTCCCCATGTTAACAACACAGTACTAGAGTCCTAGTACAATGTGGCACAACTTTACTACTTATAATCCCTACACAGTACTTACTAGTATTCATATTTTTTTTATTTAATAGAATTTGTGTGGACTACATAAGTAATTGTTAAGCACAATTTTAATTTGTTGAAGACAAAAAGGTGCTCTAAATCGAGTACATTACCTGATCTCCATGCAGACGATTGAGTAGCGTAACACAGACGACGGCAGCTTTGATGCCTGCATGGTGGCAAAGTGCAGCAAAGCAGAGAGATTCCATTTCCATGTTAACAACATTAGCCTCATGAATTTTATTGAGAAATGATAACTTGTCAGATTCGGTGTAGTCACAGAAAGCTCCATCTAATCTTCCCTGACCTAATGAATGCATAATTTTTTGTTAATTTTTGTAAACCAGGGAAATTTGTAATGTAGAATATAGTACAGTATTACATAATTTCAAAAGTTAATTAAAAAAAAGTAGTTCCTGTAGTTTGCATTCTTAAAAAAAAAATTATAATTATTTTGGACCATGTATTATTGCTTTTTGTGCAAGAAGCATACATTATATTGACAGTGTATACAGTTGGGGCAATGTGGCAAGTTCTTAATTAAATCAAATAATACAATGCAGCACAGTTTTTGTTCCTGGGTAGTAAATGTTATTTTCTGATTGCTTATTATTGCTTGATTTTCTTATGCCTCCAAAATATAAAAAATGGCTATTATTCCCCTCAAACTTTTCTCTGACCAGTGCCTATGGCATCTTGAAGGTACTGTATTTGAAGGCTGCCAAATCACAATCTAAAGCTGTGGCACATTGTTTCATAAGTTGCCAGCTTCAGGTGCCTTCATGACACCTTCTATAAGCTTTCCGAGGGGAATAATAGCCACTTTGTATACTTTGGAGGCAGAAAATAACTTACTACCCAGGAAAAAAATGAACTTGTTATAGTACATAGTGTCACATATATGCTACACTTTCCAATTTCGGATATGCCTTTATATACATGGATGGTGATATGCTAAAGAAATTGTTCATGAACTTTGTTTGACCGAAGCCGGAAATATGCAGCAGTTGTATGATGCCCATATTTTAAGAAGTACATCATCAAACTGGAAAAGGTACAAAGACATGCAACTAAATGGCTCCCGGAATTGATGGGCAAGAGCTACGAGATGTTAGAGGCATTAAATATGCCTGTGACAATGTCGATGCCAAGTGATGTGGGTATGTTGGTCGACAGGAATCAGTTCACCCAGGGCAGTCCTGAACACAACACATGTTCCAGTGGGAACAAATGGCCCAGTCAGTGTAGACTGTGATTTGTCTTATGATACTTCGTGAAGTGTTGGTGATTGAACTGACGTATTCCGGGATGGCCAAGATGAGTTACGAGACAGAATTAATGTCCATCTGTTAAGGCTTGTTATAATTGAAGCCTGTGTGGAGGCCTGCCAGAGTGTTGCTGGAGACTCCTGCCAGTGTGTTGCTGGAGAGTAGAAGTGGTGTTTTGGCACCGTGACGATACTGTGTAGGACTGGCCCATGATTTACTGAGAAAGGTGAACTCGCTGGCATGAGGACCATAGAAAACAGACTCAGGGAGGGAACCTTGAGGTGTACGAAAAAAGATAGAAGTGGATTCACTGGGAAAGAAGATTGCAGACGTTTTAGTTTCCTATGTGAAAGTGACACCTGCAGTGTTATGTCATGTACATACAATAAGTGTATATATATAGTTAAAAAGTATTCTTGGTGATGGTTCTGTTTAGTGTTGTTTACTCCCTTTTCCTTTAGATTGAGTATTACTGCCAGTTCTTAATAACTTGCCTATGACTCTGGGTGGGATGAAGTAAGAAGAGGCACTAAGGCCCTATATACAGTTTGATAATTAAAGAACCTAGTTACTGGCTAAGTGAGGCCGTACCAATGCGAAAACTAGAAGATAGATGAAAAAGAGATGATATGATCACTACATACAAAATAGTAACGGGAATCGATAAAATTGATAGGGACGAATTCCTGAGACCTGGAACTTCAAGAACAAACAATATACTATATATAAGAATATAAGAAAATTCACTTTCACTAACAGAGTGGTAGACGGTTGGAACTAGTTAGGAGGAAGGCAAAACAAAGTACAGTACTAGTACTGTAGTTTTAAAACGTCATATGAAAGAGTGCTGGGAAGACAGGACACCACGAGTGTAGCTCTCATCCTGTAACTACAATTTGGTAATTTTACATATACACATGCACATGCACACACAGATCATATATATGATTGAATGACTGAATTTGGTTGGGAATAAATAGGAGCTGCTTGTCATGGGCTAGCAGGCCTTCTGCAGTTTATTTTATTTTTGTATCTTAACCTTCAGCCAAACAGTTTTTCCAGTTTTAGTTATGTGCTGTACTGGTTGGGGGTCTTCTCTCAAGATTCCCAAAACACTTGAAGTTCACGTCCTTGGAATTTTGTTAATAAATATGAGCATTTAACTAGGAACAGGGTATAATAGCTTGCTACATAAGAAGGGTTTAGAGTTGTGGATAATTTGTTGACCCTCCAAGTCTTGTCTCAATACCAAGTTATCATCTCATCTCAATTATCCTCTTTTTGTAAGCAACTGTACTATTTTGCCCTTCATAACTCACCAGTAGAAGTGGTACATTGTCTGCGTATTATATTATACTGTACAATAATTAAAAGACATGCAGCATTAGTCTATAGAACACCATCATATTGTACTAACCTTCATAGAAGTCATAAGTGCACATCGTCTTTCCAACAGTCACTGTGAAAGGATCATCATCATTATGCAGGTTTTTAAGGTCATTGGCCAACTGCCTATCCAGGATGGCTGGCCGCCGCTTCAGCTTACCAAGCACAGGCTTAGAAGAGGAAGGGAGAATAATTAGATATGATCATAGGTTTAGGTCCCTCTCTCAAGATATGGTTTGTAAAATTACAAAAAGAAGATGAAAGAATACTGTAGGGAAGGTTATTATAAATATTGTATTATAACCATCTAACTGCCGAAGCCGTAAATGCCAAAACTGAATCAAACTGGAAAAGATCATTAGGGCAAATGGGGGGGGGGGCCTTTGACAAGCTGCCAGCTTCCTGTCTTCATCGAGGCCGCTAGTGTTAGTGGCCCTCAGGTAAAATACAGGTATAGTACTTCAACAAGCCGCCAGCTTCCTGTCCTCGTCGAGGCTACTAGTTTTAGTGACCCCTCTGGTAAAGTCAGGTAAAATACAGGAACGTAGCCACTAGATTTAATGACCTATGGAGGGGGGGGGCAGTGGCCAGGTTGTTATATCCGGGAAGGGGGGGAAGTAAAATTTCGGAAACTGTTAGTTCATACAGTAGTTGGGAGAGCAACAAGATGGATGGTGGGTTGGTAGGTTGGCAGGGATGGCTGGCTGGGTGGGCAGACAGGGTAGATGGGTAGGTAGGTGGATGGCTGGCTGGCAGGCAGGCAGGCAGGCAGGGTTAGGAGGTGAGTGGGTGGATAGATTAATTGGTGGCTGACTGACTGACTGGCAGGCTGGCTGGGTGGGCAGGGTGGATAGGTAGATGGCTGGAAGGCAGATGGAGTGGGTAGGTGCACGGGTAGGCACCTACCCACCCTGGCCTAGCAAGGGCATGGTTGTCACAACAAACATAATAAGTGTCCTCCAGTTTAACGAGTACCGAACTCTGTAAGCTCACTACCATATTCCGGATTTAACGGCCATTGACTCAGTAAATAAGGCGCCTGTTAACAATCTAAAATTAGGTCGCTAGAACCGGCAGGACGGTAAATAATGGGTCTTTAAATCAAGTGGATACTCTGTACTTCAACATATAACATTTAATAGGTAAAATTTTGAGTACCTATTTTAAATTTTAACTCCTATGAGAAAATACATAAACTTGAACTGGGATTAGAAAAAAGAATATTCTCAATTAGTTACAAATTGTTTTAAGATGCAACAGTAATTATGTTCTCACCAATTCGAGGTAGGGTTGTAATAAGCCATCCACGGCACTCTCGGTAATCACCAAGTTTCCTCCTTCAATGCCAATGCCACCGCACGTGCCCAGACGGAAGAAAATGGGGTCCTTACACTTAGCATGGTACATTAATTTGATCACTTCATGAAGGAGAATTCCCACCGAGGGAATCCCCATTCCATGAGAGAAGCACAGCACTGGCCCAACCTAAAATATAGTTTACAGGAGCACATTAATCATTAAGAAATAAAAGTTTTGTATCACAATGAAAGATAAAATATGCAACAATCAATGAAATGTGTACAAGTCTTCAAACTTAATACATTAATTATAAGTGGCTCTTTGGCATCCTTAATTGCACTCAACTCTTTAAGATATAACTATAACATGCTCGTGTCTCAAGCTAGACACAAATACAACAAAATTATTAATGATGGTAACAGAGTCTATTTCATGTGGATTCCATCTCATGTTGACCTCTGAATGCATAATAGAGCTGATGAGTTAACCAAAGAATCTGCCTTTAAAGGAGAAATTAAGTATAATCTTGGATTGCCAATAAGCAGTCTAAGAGCAATAGAACTTCAACAAAATCTTGTAGATCTGAAACAAAGTGAAATCGACACCAGTAATTCCCATCTATCATCATACTATCATGCAAGACGGCTTAGACTTGGTTACAAGTATCTCTGGGAATTCTCATTATCTGCTGATGTGGACCTGACCAAATGTAAACTGTCAACACAATTATTCGTACACCCTCCGTCACTATGTGATGGAGTGCGAAAAGATACGCGAATTCAGAAACAATTCTATAACAAATGTTCCAGAGAGGTGTAAATTTTTCATTCAAAATGATCTGCTACCAGAAAACTTACCCAAATATTCCCAGTTTGCTAACTGTAGGTAGTAACTGAGTGATTGTGCTAACTGTAAGTAGTAACTAAATGTAACTGGACTGTAACCTATCCAACGCTGCCCACTGGATGGGGGGCGGTGTGCAGGACAAACATATCAATTGTGACACTAGCTCTCCACATATGTCAGTTGCTTAATTTAGAAACTGTACTTGTGGTCGATCTCGAACCAATTGTTGATGTGACGATGTGCATTGAATTTTGTAACTAGCTCATCAAGATTGTAACTTGCTTAGCTAAATGAATTGTGGGGTTCAGTCCCTGAGCCCATTATGTGCCTCTGTAACCCTTTCCACTACCGCCCACAAGATGGGTATGGGGTGCATAATAAATGAACTAAACTTGTTAGGGTGCTTCGTGAAGTGAAGAAATTTGCATTTACCAAAAGAAAATTATACGTACTTTCTTCACAACAAAAATTTTGCAAGATGCAATGTGATCAAGTCGAATTGAGGGAATGAGAAGGAAATAAGATATTCATGCTACATCATGTACGTGAAAGCAAGCAGCACGGGCTCACCATAGCCCGTGCTGCTTGGAACTTGTTCCAGGTAGCGAATCTTAAACAACAACAACAACAACATGCACAAATATTGCTCTACTAATGCATTTGTTTTATTAATTGGTTTACTTATATACAAAAGTAGTTTACCTTATACATAGAGTAACGGTAGGACCGGTAGGAAATATCCAAGAGTGTGGTTCCTGCAGGTAGCTTGTAGCCTATCTCATCCATGAGGAAGTTAGCGAAGTGCTCCATGCGCTTGGGTGTTCCTCCCATGCACACGAACCGTACATCGCTGAACATCTCCACCAGGTCGTGGGAGCCAGACCCCAGCGCCAGGTGGTACAGGATGTCTTGTTCCATCTCTGCGATGTGTGGGTTACGCAGCCGCACTGAGCCATCTGGGAATCTGAAATAGTTGTTATTTCATATCTATAGTGTTCGATAATACTTCAGTGTATTGGATGGTTTTCCTGTTAAGAGTATAAGGTTGACTAGAAGAGTTATGAACGGGAAAGACTGTGGTCTTCATTACCATAGCATTTACTAGACCAGAGAAACAATTACAACAACGATTTGTATTTCAAGAGTGGCTTTGTCATCCATATTGACACCCTATAGTATTCTGTACGTGTGATCACATCCTAAATTAGCTTAGCCCAACCATTTGGGCTCGACGGTAGAGCGAGACCGTCGCTCTCGGTCTCGCTTCATGCAAGTCGGCGTTCAATCCCCGACTTTCCAAGTGGTTGGGTACCATTCCTTCCCCCTGTCCCATCCCAAATCCTCATCTTGACCCCTTCCCAGTGCTATATAGTCATAATGCCTTAGCGCTTTCTTCTGATAATTCCTTCCTTCCTAAATTAGCTAAGTCTCATGACCTAAATTAGCTGAGTCTCATGACCTAAATTAGCTAAGTCTCATGACCTAAATTAGCTGAGTCTCATGACTTTAACCTGTCCTAAAGGCACCGAACTTCATGTCAACCGCGGCCCTCATGAATTAAACACCCAATGAGCGAACCAAAGGGACAAATGAAGGATTTCCGAAGTAATACTTAAAAGTCCTTAATACGTGATAAATGAGAAAGATTATTAAATACAGTTGCTACGATTAAATGTTAAATAATATAATTTAACAATGGTTGACTACCTGTTGATGATTTCGAGGATCCAGGTCCCCCACAGCCCATCATACTATCATATCAATGAATCATACCATCATATCAATGAACATACCATCATATCAATGAAACATATCATCATATCAATGAATCATACCATCATATCAATGAACATACCATCATATCAATGAAACATATCATCATATCAATGAATCATACCATCATATCAATGAACAAATACACAATCTAGCAAGCCACGCTGTTAAGAACATAATAAACAAACCATCGTTAAACGAACGGCAGATATGTTTATCCGAATGAGTAAGGCAATTTCTTACTCAATAAAAAATAAGGAATAAGGCAATGCTATACGGTGTTGTCCCATGATCATACAGCCAGCCGAAGCACATAATGATGCCTCTGAAATTCCCGTCACACTTGGGGGGGGGGATTTCTTTTAGACAATGCCGTGTGTCCTTTGACTTATCTTTAAAGAACCGTTTCTAGACGAAGAAAACAACTTTACTAACACTGACGATAGTAGAAACACCTGATAAAATGTCACAATACAATTGTGATCATGATTATTTATTAGGCTCCCGGTATCAATCTGGGAAAGTGAACATTATATGAAAAGAAGACAGGGTCTGCATATTAGTGTTTTATTTAAAATGGATAACTAATACAAAGGTGATTGAGCTCTGGCTCTTTGGTCCCGCCTCTCAACTGTCAATCAACAGGTGTACAGATTATGGAGCCTATTGGGCTCTATCAAATCTACATTTGAAACTGTGTACGGAGTCTCCCTCCACCATATCACTGTTTAATGCATTCAATTTGTTAACTACTCTGACACTTAAAAAAATATTTATAATGTCTCTGTGGCTCATTTGGGTACTAAGTTTCCAAAAGTGTCCCCTTGTTCGTGTTCCACCCCGTGCTAAAGAGTTTGTCTATGTCCATCGTGTCAATTCCCCTGAGAATTTTGTAAGTGGTTATCATGTCTCCCCTTAGTTTCCCAGGGATGTGTGGTTCAGCTCCCTTAGCGTTTCCTCGTAGCTCATACCTCTTAGTTCCGGAACTAGTCTGGTGGCATACTTCTGAATCTTCTCTAACTTTATCTTGTGTTTAATTAGGTATGTACTCAAGGCTGGAGCTGCATACTCCAGGATTGGTCTTACATAAGTGGTATACAAGGTCTTGAACGAAATTCCTTACACAAGTTTCTAAAGGCAGTTCTTACGTTGGTCAGTCTTGCATATCCCGCTGATGATATCCCTTTGATGTGGGCCTCTGGGGACAGGTTCGGTGTGATATCAACCCCCAAATCTTTCTCTATTTGACTCTTAAAGGATATCACCTCCCAGATGGTACATTGTGCTCAGCCTTCTGCTCCTTACGCGTAATTTAATTACTTTACACTTTCCCGAGTTGAATTTTAGTAGCAATTTTCTAGACCATTCCTCTAGTTTGTCCAGGTCGTCCTGTAGTCTCTGTCTATCTTCATCTGTCTTGATTCTTCTCATAAGTTTTGCATCATCAGCAAACATTGAGAGGAATGAGTCTATACCCTCTGGAAGATCATTTACATATATTAGAAACAGGATGGGTCCAAGTACTGAGCCCTGTGGAACCCCGCTAGTGACATCTCACCACTCTGTTGTCTTCCCCTCATAGTTACTCGCTGTTTCCTGTTGTTTAGATACTCCCTTATCCATTGGAGCACCTTACCTTTTATTCCTGCCTGTTGCTCCAACTTTTGTAACAGCCTTTTGTGAGGTACCGTGTCAAAGGCTTTCTGACAGTCCAAGAAAATGCAGTCTGCCCACCCTTCTCTTTCTTGCCTAATTTGTGTTGCTTGGTCATAGAATTCTTTAAACCTGTGAGGCACGATTTACCATCTCTGAACCCATGCTGGTGGTGTGTTACAAAGCTATTTCCCTCCAGATGCTCTACGAGCCTTTTCCTCACGATCTTCTCCAGCACCTTGCATGGTATACAAGTTAGCGAAACTGGCCTGTAGTTCAATGCCTCTTGCCTGTCACCCTTTTTTTGTATACTGGGATTACATTAGCTGTCTTCCAGCTAGCTAATTCGTTCAGTTGTCCCCTAGTGTGTGTGTGTGCCCCTTGTGTTAAATAGTCTAATTTAACTACCCTATCAATTTCTTTGAGAATCTTGTATGTGGTGATCATGTTCCCCTCCAACTCTTCTGTCTAACAGGGACGTGAGGTTTAATTCCCATAGTCTATCCTCGTAGCTCATACCTCTCAGTTCAGGTACTAATCTGGTGGCAGACCTTTGAGGCTTTTCCAGTTTAGTCTGGAGAAGTGTACTCACCTAGTTGTGCTTGCAGGGGAGGGGGGGGGGGGGTGTGAGCCTTGGCTCTTTGGTCCCTCCTCTCAACCGTCAATATACAGGTATATAGATTCTTTATTTTCTCAAGCTCCATCATATCTACATTTGAAACTATGAGTGGAGTCAGTCTCCACCACATCACTTCCTAGTGCATTCTATTTATTACTACTCTGACACTGAAAAAGTTCTTTCTAATGTCTATGTGGCTCATTTGGCTACTCAGCTTCCACCTGTGTCCCCTTGTTAAATAATCCATCCTTGTCTACCCTCTCAATACCCCTGAGAATTTTCTATGTGGTGATCATGTCTCCAAGGGCTCTCCTGTCTTCCAGCTACGTGAGGTGGTTTCCTCAGCCTTTCCTCGTTACTCATGCCTCTTAGTTCTGGGACTAGCCTAGTGGCATACCTCTGAACTTTTACCAGCTTCGTCTTGTGCTTTACAAGATACGGGCTCCATGCTGGGGCCGCATACTCCAGGATTGGTCTTACATACGTGGTATACAAGGTTCTGAAAGATTCCTTATACAGGTTTCTGAAGGCACTTCCGATGTTAACCAGTCAGTGATAGTTTGTGTGTGTATTCACCTAGTTGTGCTTGCGGGGGTTGAGCTCTGCTCTTTCGGCCCGCCTCTCAACTGTCAATCAATCATCTGTTACTAACTAATGTTTTTTTTCACACACACACACGCAGGAAACAGCCCGTAACAGCTGTCTAACTCTCAGGTACCTATTTACTGCTAGGTAACAGAGACATCAGGGTGAATGAAACTCTGCCCATTTGTTTTTCCGGCGATGCCGGGGATCGAACCCCAATCCCTTGGTCCACGAGTCTAGGGCGCTGTACGTCCACTCAACCCCCCAACTGGTGAGTGGTGTGTGTACCTTGCGTGTATGTGTGTGTGTGTGCGTATACACACACACACGTGAGTAGGTGAGTACACAGGTTTACGACAGCACAATACATCCACGCCTCTAATCCCCTGGCTGACCGAGCCCCCTTGCGTCCATACATTCCAACTTTCCCCTTTACAAACCACTTCCCCCCCCCCCCCACCTCCCTCCCTCCATCCCCCTGGTGAAGAAAAAAGAAAGTTCGTTATAAAGGTGACTTACCTGGTGCAGGCCCTGCAGGCGTGATTAATATAGGCCTGTGCTGGGTCTTCCTCCGCCTCGGCGGGCGGGATCACACACACCTCAAACCCATGACAAGGCATCGTCTGCGGCTATATTACTTTTGCCCGCACACACAGATGACTCCACTACTATTTAAAATATCGTATTTACTATAGCTATTAATACTGCATAGGTCTCCCTGATATTTTCATCAAAATAGGACAATTTCGAACTATATACACATAAATACGCGGCAGCGTTGGTGAATTACGTATGCGACTTTATCGACGGACTGCTAGAGACGATAACCTCAGCATATATATATAAATATATAAGTACGCAAACCGTAAAATATACACTGCAATGCCATTAACATTTACACCATCGGCCCGCCGAGGTCAAGTGATAACTTATACAGCAAACATTAAAACATTTCAAGACTGGTTGGAGATGAAGCGGACGTCGCGACCACGTGGGTGACAGTATTGGAAGTCAGGCGCGCCCCGGCCAGCGCGGGAATATATAGTGAGATACTCCCCGACGTACACACAATAACACCGTGACGTGGCTCTCTGTGATTGGTGGTCAGGCAAGGGGGAGGCGGGGCGTCAACTGGGGTAAAGCCTCTGGAGTTGACAACCAAATGGGGAGGATAGAGGAGGGGGGGGGGGGGCTGGGGCAGGGGAATGTCGCAGTGTTGTCGGTTGATTACTATCTACATCAATCGTTCCCTGCCCGGGGTCTGGGAACGAAATGACAAGAGAGACATGTAATGTCTCCCTGTTGTCATTTACATGCAGTTTTAATTGAGGTTAACAATGGACGGGTGGTGACAGAGGAATATGTGTTTGTCGTAGCACTCAATGACTTTGTTGTAGGGGAAGTACACAGGTGAGAACGTAGTTGTAGGAGAGGTACACAGGTGAGAACGTAGTTGTAGGAGAGGTACACTGGTGAGAACGTGGTTGTAAAAGGGAAGAATGAGACATAAAAGGCTGGGAACCACTGATTTATTTATCATTCACTTCATTCATATTTTTATGTTTTTTTTATAAACGTGGGAACAGGATAGGCTTATGGCTCTCCCCTCTTATAGCCCATCTTAAACCTTGCCCTATTATGGTTATCCCTAGAACACGACCTGTCAACCTGTTTACAACCAGGTGCCCAATTACTTCCTGCCTAGGGCTCGAACCCGGCCTCCATGGCTCGCTGGGCTTAGGGCGAGCGTGCTAGAACAGGGACTTAAGTAAGCATTTATCAAAATAAGGCCCCAGGAAAGGCCAGGAAACCAGAAAAAGCCAGGGAAAACATGGTGGAAGGCATGCTGGGAATCCTCACATCTTGAGGTTATCTTGAGATGATTTCGGGGCTTTAGTGTCCCCGTGGCCCGGTCCTCGACCAAGCCTCCACTCCCAGGAAGCAGTCCGTGACAGCTGACTAACACCCAGGTACCTATTTTACTGCTAGGTAACGGGCATAGGGTGAAAGAAACTCTGCCCATTGTTTCTCGCCAGCGCCTGGGATTGAACCCAGGACCACAGGATCACAAGTCCCGCGTGCTGTCCGCTCGGCCGACCGGCTCACATATACCCATCTTTAATGAACTTTGTTGTATTTTATATCCTTTAAAAGAAAGTTACAATTTAATCAACATTTGGTGTGAGTTCTTCATTCTTGTCGAGTCACTAGCGAGTACAGAGTCTTGGGCGGTGACCTTATAGCTGAAATTTTCCTGTGTTTGTTGCGTGTTGTTGCTGCGTGTTTGTTTGCGTGTGTTTGTTTGATGCATGAGCGTGACTGACCTCTTCCCCGCCACGCATGATAATCACGTGAAAGTTTTAAGTAAGTGATTCATTACACATGGGAAACTGCTTTCTTTAAAAAGTCTAGTTCCGGAACCCGTTACTTTTAATCCAATAGATTAAATAACAAAAAGGTCTTCAGTGTGATGGTCCATCAATGATGGCAAGACGCTCAGCACGTCCCTCAAGTCTCCTTAACACCGTAGCTAGTCTCATCACCTTCAACATTTACAGTTTTCCAAGTCAGTTCTTAAATTTGTCTGGGTTCTTCAAGATTATTTATGTGTACAGTCACCGAAACAGCTCCCACTGGTAAGGGTGGAGGCTGATAAATATTGAAATAATAGCGCACACGCGCGCGCGCGCACACACACACACACACACAATCTTATCCTGTACACCAGTTGATTGACAGTTGAGAGGCGGGACCAAAGAGGCAAAGCTCAACCCCCGCAAGCACAAACAGGTGAGTATAAATAGGTGAGTACACACACACATAATAATGATCTTCATAATCTAAATATCAAGACTAAACTGAAAAAGGTTCAAAGGTTTGCCACCAGACTAGTACCCGAACTGAGGGGTATGAACTACGAGGAGAGACTACGGGAATTAAACCTCACGTCACTGGGAGACAGAAGAGTTAGAGGGGGCATGATCACCACATACAAGATTCTCAGAGGAATTGATAGGGTAGATAAAGACATACTATTTAACACAAGGAGCACACGCACAAGGGGACACAGGTGGAAATTGAGTGCCCAAATGAACCATAGAGACATTAGAAAGAATTTTATTAGTGTCAGAGTAGATGCCAAATGGAATGCATTAGGAAGTGATGTGGTGGAGGCTGACTCCATACACAGTTTCAAGTGTAGATATGATAGAGCCCAATATGCTCAGGAACCTGTACACCAGTTGATTGACAGTTGAGAGGCGGGACCAAAGCGTCAGAGCTCATCCCCCACAAGTACAACTAGGTAAGTACACACACACTTTAGACATGCATCGAGATCTAGGCCTAACTACTGATCTTCCCCAGGACGCAATCCCACACCACTTGCCTAATTCCCGGCTACCTATTTACTGCCGGGTGAACAGTCGTATTAGGTGAAAGGAAATATGCACAACTATTTCTGTCCCGCCCGGGGATCGAACCCAAGAACCCCAATTGTGAGTCGAGAACTAAGCCAACTGTACCACGAGAACAAATTGTCAGAAGAAGCTGTACACCAGAAGATTGAAGGGTTAAGGGCTGAACCGTTGCAAGCACACTTGGGTAAGTGCTACTAGATTGGTACACACATCTAAATCTCCACAGTTGAGCAACAGGGACGTTAGAAAGAACTTTTCAGTGTCAGAGTAGTTAACAGGTGGAATGCATTAGGCAGTGATGTGGTGGAGGCTGACTCCATACACAGTTTCAAATGTAGATATGATAGAGCCCAGTAGGCTCAGGAATCTGTACACCAGTTGATTGACAGTTGAGAGGCGGGACCAAACAGCCAGAGCTCAACCTCCGCAAGCACAAATAGGTCAGTACACACACACGCCACCTGAGTGATCACTTGGTCCAACTTTAACCTTTACAAGATATTAGGAACGTTGGTCTTGGTGGGCGGGTCGCACATGGCTGGTGGGGGTGACCTTTGTGCCACGGCGCTTACTGGTCAGTATCTGCGTCTCTCCGGGAGCCAGACCTGCCTCCCGAGCCCAAGCTCCCTATTGGCGGTTACTGGCGCTATAATCTCTCTTAAGCGATCTATTTCTGCATCGTTCCTGCTATTGAAGCTGTGAATGGAGGTGGCAATCTTATCCCACAGTACATTCCACTTGCTTGCTACCAGCATGGTATTTGCCAGAAACGCAGTGCGTAGTAGTGGCTTTAGGTACTGTATGTACTAGCTCTATCTATAAATCCAACATTATGTTTGCAACTCATCTTCTATGTATGTACTTTTACCTGAATAAATATTTTGATTTTGATTTTAAGTATTGGCCGACATTTGCGAATAGATTGTGTTTCTCACCAGAATGAATATAGGAATATAGATTCTTCGATTTATTAAGAGTATATCTATCTAAGAGGAAGTCGTGTGTGCCCTGTCAAAGGCACGCCGGTGTCACTGAACACTATGAACTACGCACCCACACAAGGGAGTCTTTTGCTCTACCTTTTGATAGTAAACTATCGAAGAATTCCAATGGTTATAATATTATTTTAACTGGTGGCATAATGATGCATGCCACTTGTATGTCAACTTTTAGACTGTCGACAACGATGTGTTAGGAACAGTGAGTAAACTGAAATACTTGGGAGAAATGGCGGCTAATTCCACCTACGGTTTTAAAAACAAATATGGAAAGTAACGAAAGGAACGAGAATCATTGCACTAGACCCTCATCCGTTTGTGTGCATTTTACCTCAATAAACGTATTTCAATTTTCAATTTCAGTCAACAGTTGGAAAGACGGAGCCCAGGAGATGAAGCTCGGGTTTGCAAACCGTTAGGTAAAAAAAGTTTAAAAGGACTTCCTATTCCTACAGAGTGCGCTAATGGACTTAACCTTCATAGCCTCGTATTATGCAGGCAGGTGTCAATATAGTCACTTTTTTCAGGAAAATTCCTGCGCGGGCCCCAAGCCCCTGGCTGGCCCACTAAGTGTTGCTAGTTTCTGTTTTACTTAAGCGGAGTATGAGTATTTATGACTCGTATGGTCGCTTCAGGAAGATTTTGTTCCGTGTGTTTAACAACTTCTGCTCTGTTGAATCTAAGTTGAAATCTTAATGGATTTGTAACTGTGCACTGTGTTAGATAATAATATAGTCACTGATGACATTCTCATATCTAATTGGCCTTTGTAAATTTACCGGAACAAAATAATATATATATTGCCCTTAGAGGAAAAAAAATCAAACTAAAACTATGTGGCTTCAATGTATGCATTATATCAGTATATTTACTTTTTTTTACACCAGTATTTACCTACATTTATTCTGAAAGATTACTACATACGTTTCAAACAAATAACTGAGTTATAGAAATTAGTATAGCTAAATATTCCTTAAAGTCGATGTCGGAATCCTGCAACCCATTCGGACAATTGTTTACATTTACTGATCCACGAACACCTACACACTTCCTGGCCAGTATCTGAGCATTTCCTGTCCGGCCAACGTCAATAAACAAACCTTACCGTGTGAATGAGTTTAATCGAGTTACTTTATTTGATTTTAATTCATTTATTAAACAAATACTTTTATGTTCAGGATAAATTTAACTTTGCAGCAGCGCTACGGTATAATATTTTGAAGTTCTTGGTATTACAGTATCGCACTTAGGCTACAGCCAGGCACTCCAAGATTATCGTCAACTTCCTTAAAAACATGTTTTGGTAAACTCCAACCACTTAGGCTGGATGGTAGAGCGACGGTCTCGCTTCATGCAGGTCGGTGTTCAATCCCCGACCGTCCAAAGGGTTGGGCACCATTCCTTCCTCCCCGTCTCATTCCAAATCCTTAACTGACCCCTTCCCAGTGCTATATAGTCGTAATGGCTTGGTGCTTCTCCTGACAGTTCCCTTCCCTTCATCAGTTCTATCGTGCATTCAGAGGACAACACGAGATTAAATCTACATGAAATAAACTCTAATGAAATAATTAATAATTGCTTTGT